CAGGGCTGATAACAATGTTTGAAATTTCAATACAGCAGAGACAGTGTTGTCAGCTCACTACCGGAAGCTTGGAGCTCACTGGATTTCTGGCAGCACCTACAGGTGTTTTTCTGTCTTTAAAGAGACAAAACATGAGCAGATGTGCATGTATTGCAGATATATATATATATATATATCTTTAGGGACAGTAGTTATTCCCAATGGAATGGAGAGGCTCTTCCAACAAAGAATACAGTAATGGTAAAATAAAAAAGTAAGTAAACCCCAACCTATTGCATTTGTTCGCTTTTGGTCTGGTAAATGTACCAATTAAAGCATTTTATTATATCTGAGTGTAACCCCCATCACCTTTTGTGAGGTGGCTACTAGAAATGTAGTGCTGCCAGAACTGTAGTCAGTCTGGCTGAATTATAGTTGGCATTTATCTGGTTAATTCCAGGTGTTCTATCATTGATTGTACCTGCCTGAGTGGGGTGTGACTCTGCTGCAGTGTGAGACAACCAATGAGGGATACTGTAAGTGTGTATGCAATTCACCAGCCAATCACTGGGACGGTGATAGCTAGTGTTGCATGCTGGGTAAATAAAAGCAATACCAGCTGATCCTGCCAGAAATGTTGTGAGCTGATAACTTTCTCTGTAGTTAGCAACATTCCTAGTTTCCTCTGAACTACCGAACAGCTCCTTCTCATAGTTTGGATATAAGGTGAGTGAGGGGGTATTTTGTAGCTTGCAATTTGGAAGTTCCTGGAAATTATGATTCAGTTATATGATTCTCTACGGAATGGCAAATTCTGCATGCATATATCCAGGAGAATCCAAACATTTTCAATTTGTCAATACATCTGATTATCAGATTGATTTGCTCTCTAACTGAGGTATGTGCTAATATTGTACTTCTGGGAATGTTGCTGAAAGATCTACTGCTAATACATACAGAGGGGAATTTATCAAAACTGGAGCAGACAAAATGTGGAGCAGCTGTGCATGGCAACCAATCAGCTTCTCTCTTTTTATTTTCAAATCTTAACTCAACAAACTGAAGAGAGAAGCTGATTGGTGGCCCTGGCCAACTGCCCCAGATTTTGTCTGCTCCAGTTTTGATAAATTCCCCTCACATTATGTCTATTAAAATCTGGATACACTGAAGGGCAGAATAAATAATAGAAACCCACAGCAAAATGTTAGTTAATCTCCTGCCCTATGAACACACATACACGGGGGAATTTATTAAAACTGGAGCAGACAAAATCTGGAGCAGTTGCCCATGGCAACCAATCGGCTTCTCTCTTCAGTTTGTTTAATTACAAATAAAAGAGAGAAGCTGATTGGTTGCTGTGCGCAACTGCTCCAGTTTTTGTCTGCTCCAGTTTTGATAAATTCCTCTGACAGTACTTTGTATTACTACATAGATACCAACTGCACTTTTTTCCCCTTAGATTCTGTCCCTGGAATTGTATGTCAGAAAAGTTTAAGTCTTCAGGTTGGTTAACCTCAGCTACTACTACAGGTGGCCATACACTTAGTCACTTACACCTTAGTCTTGCGATGGTTGTAAAGTAATTTAAAAAACGTACGATCTGCCCATCTTGGACAGGCAGATCGTACTCTCGATCATCGCAAGCCCGCTCCCTGAGGGGCGGGCTTCCGATAACTGCAATGCTGAACGGGCAGTGTGCACGTGCGCACACCGGCCCGTTCGGCATTTGTCTCCCGAGCACCGTTCAAACCAGACGAAAAGCGTACGATCTTCGGCTGGTTTTCTAGCATGCTCCTTAGACAAAAGACGTGCGACCGTACAGTAGAAACTGTAACGGGATTTCCCGTGATTCTCGTACGAGAATCGAGCAGTGTATGGGCACCTTACTACTGATGCCTTCTATACTTTCTGCAGTCTGTTGGTATTTTTAGCTGAGGCTTTTTATAACCTCTAAAAAATAGGAATTTCATATTTAAAAACGTGTTTATATTCTAATTTATATTATAGGATATATGGGAGCTCTAAAACTATGTCTCTCATGTAAAGAATTGGCTATGCTGCCTAAAGGAACCAATCAGACTCTTTCTTTCATATGCTACACATAAGGTAATCTGTCTGTTACTGGCAGCACAGACTGTGTCTCTTTCGCATACCCGGAACTAAACTCACAGATTTAACCATTTCCCAAAACAGTCACAACCAAGCCATGTTTCTGGGGATAATTGTCACAGCTATCCTCCAAGATCTTAAATGGCTGGTGTCATATCTGGCTACAAGTACAGCATCATTGAAACAACTGCAATTGAAATGGACGTTAAGATGGTGCTGTCATTGGCTGTAAACTAGGGATGCACCGATACTCGCAGATACCGGTGCTTCCGCTGAAAATGGAGCCGAATTCCCGGGCAATCAGGATGTTGGGCGGCAGGTAATGACATGCAGCTCGGCTGCATGATTGCCCGTGAAGCCGGTTCCATGTTGTTTGGCAGTCTCGTTGTGATTGGCCGGGAAACCAGCTTCCCAGCCATTCAGCATCGAGCCGACTTCCCGGCCAATCAGGAAGCCGGGCGGCGAGTAATGACCTGCCCCCCGACTTCCTGATTGGCCGGGAAGCCAGATCTCCCAGCCAATCAGCAAGGAGCTGGCTGTTCGGCTGTCTTGATGCTGATTGGACAGGAAGCCATCTTCCCTGCCAATCAGAAAGCCGGGAGGCGGGTCATTACTTGCCACCTGGCTTCCTGATTGCCCGGGAAGCCGACTCCATGATCCCCTATGGCACTGCTGGTCAGAGGAAATATTCCTCTGACTGGAAGTTCCGGTATCAGGGAAGGTCTCAGAGCATTTGGGCGAGTACGAGTACTCGCCCAAATACTCTGTATCGGCACCAATACCAGTATGGGTGCATCCCTGCTGTAAAGGATAGTAGGGAATAGTTCTGCTTTATTGAGTGGAACCTCCTTTTTTTGCTATATATGGAATGGATATATATATGGAATACGAATATATATGCTTTGGCAAGTTTGTCTTAAAGCAAAAGGTGAGGAGGGAGCATGGAGCCGACTTCCAGGCCAATCAGGAAGCCGGATGGTGTGTAATGACTCGCTGCCCGACTTTCTGATTGGCTAGTTTCCTGACCAGTCAGGGCGCCGGGGGGAGAGTCATTAATCGCCCCCGGCTTCCTGATTGGCCAGAAAGCGGGCTCCATGCTTTCTTGTAACCAGGACCCCGGGTGGCGACTCATTACACGCCACCCGGCTTCTTAATGGGACTTTCGGTATTGGCGAGTACCGAAAAAAAAGCCGATACTCAATACCAAAAAAACGGTATCGGTGCATTGCTATGCTATACTCTTTAACATGTTGGTGCACAATTACCACTGTTTTTAACACACTAGAAAAACATTGACATATAAAAAAGTTCAGACAACCAATTATTACTTTGTAACACCTCATTTATATATAAAAAAACGTTTATGCATTTCTTGAAGGCAGCTAACAATGTTCCTATTTTAGATCGTCCCCTCTTCTCCTTTCCGCATGCTTCCAGCACCAAAGTATTCTTGGGTTGCCTTGCATGAGCAGCACATGTAAATCACCTTCAGATTTTCAATATCTGATCATTTCATTTAAATAAAAAGCAATATTTCATCACAGAGAATATGCCACCTTGTTCCCTGCTTGGATGTTACTTTTTACAGTTATAAACAACCAAACCTGTGCAGACATTACCACATGGACATTACTGCAGTATATCTAATAATATAGTAAACAGATGGTACTAAATCCATCAGTGTGTGATGGGGGCATGCAGGATTGTTTATGTGTAAATAATCTAATGCTCCTGGCTTGTGCATGTTGGTGGCAGGGCTCCTCTCTGCAGTCGCACAAAACCCTCCTGTGTTTGGGGACCGGAAACTCCTAATGAGATTAGTCGGTGTACGCAGACATTACTTAGCCATGACTAAATGTGCTCTCTTCCTGCAGCCAGTGGAAAATTCAAGGGAACTTTTTCCCCGGCAGCATCAGGTCCCCTAACCTTATGTATATAAAAGAAAGACCCCTCCCATCCAAAAACAACACTGCGGCTCTCTACCTTTCTGGCCGAGGGGCTTTATTAAAAAAGAAAAAAAAAACTAAAACCATCCCTCTGAAGACTACAAAGGAAGCTGCAGAGCGCAATGCATGAACCTGAGGAGAAAGAAACCACAGAGTCTCTTTGTGTGCTCCAATGAGTCATTTTCAAGATGTTGTCTGCTGCCAGTTTCAAACCGGAAGCGCATGGCAATTAGTCTTGCTGTTTCCAGACAAGCTGGACTCGTACAACTTTTTTTCTGTGTGAATACACTGGGCTGACTTATCGCTGTGTTCTAGTCATATAGGGATGGCTAGAGACAGGAGGGGAGCTCCCTGGTACATGGGCCAGTGTGGCATCACACAGTATGGGCCATTTTCAATTCTCACTTACTGCCAAATAAGTTGCAGATTTTTTATTTTCCTATCCTAAAAAAAAAAAAAATATATTGAAACTGCTCTGATCTGAGCAAGCAAAAAGGGGGATGTGTGATGGGGCCCCCAATGTGTGTGTATACACACACACTTTTAAGGGCAGAAAAATCTTTTTGAATCTGTACTGGACTGAACAAATCGATCGGTCGCACGATCAAAAGTTGACCGAGCAGCTCCAGCCTTAGTTAAGGATACATAGATAATATGTGTTAGTATTGCAGCCAGTCAGAGATGTGTCAGCTCCATGTGTCATGTCAGTGACAATCACACCCATATTCCACTAATTACTGCAATTACTGGCTGCTCAGCACTCAGCTCACACCTCCTGCGATAAGTACACCGATGAAGATTTACTAGCTACAAGTACACTATAATGCAGATGTCACACAGGATGCTAAAAACAACCCCCAAATCCCACTCCCATCCTTATTCAGCAGCATTTATCCCCCCGATCAGAATGTTAAGCACACAGCCCCAGCAATAAGTGACATGAATACACAGAAGGCACACACATACCCAAACTCTTGCTGTGCCTTGGGAACTTTCAGCCGGGCTTGTTAATGTTCTAGGAAGAAATTGGTAAAATCCCTTCGTCCTCCATGCTGACAGTCGTCTGCGAGCGTTTCTGTTGTAATGAGATCCTGATTTTTTTTCTTTCTTTTCTTTTTTTTCACTGGTGTGTGTGTGTGTGAGCAGGAAGTTGGAGCAGTCAGACAGAGAGCCGGCTCACTTCCTTTCCTGCATTATTCCCCAGGCGGTTTGCAGTCTGTGTAAACAGGCTTTTCCTCTCTCTGCTCTCTCTGGCCACTGATCATCAGCATGCTTGTAATAGAAGACACACACATAGTAAAATACTAACATCCACTGCTCCATCTGTCTGCCCCACAACATAGGGGTGGAGTCCATTCATAGGGAGCCCATGATAATTAGCAAGTACTGTCTAATCAGGGCACCACAACAACTGTCTGCTATGTATTAGGAAGATCATAGGCAGGGAAACTCCACATATAAAGATTTCTATATACTTAAACTGGCCATACACTGCAAATGTTGGATGGTTCTTCATGAACCAGACTAAATCCGTTCAGTGGTTGCAGGGCTGTCCCTAAGTTAGTCGCAGCCAGAGGCAATGATATTATCAAAATGGCCAACCCGTCGAGATCGTTACATCATGTCCGGTGACTTGCCAGTAGGAGATTTTGCTAGTGCAATGTGCACCAGCCGTGGCAGTTTTACAATCCCCATTGACTTCTCCAACTCCCGTCAATGTCAGCGGTTCTGCCAGGCATCCCACCTAGCTCACTGACGTCACTGGTTACTAGGAGCTCAGCAGAATGCCAGCCAGAGCGTCCCACTCAGCTCATGGCAACCGGTGACATCAGTGAGTGACTAGGTCGCTAAGCGATGAAGAGAGAAAATCGGCTCTAATACGTACAATCTACAATACTGAATGTTCAGAGAGCAGGTCATAAGTCCAAACGATTACTTAGCTTTTATTCTGGTCGTAAGTCCGAACGGTCGTTAAACAGGTAGGTTGTTAAGTCAGGAGTAGCTGTATATATTTTATAACTAGAAGGGCCATGGGGATCCAGTAAAGCACTGTAGTAGCTGAAGCTACTACAGTACTGACCATTATCTACCAGGTTAAAGAACTGCGACCATACTGAGCACCTTCTCCTCCACTGTAAAAAATACAGTGGGCCCCTTGCTTGGCACATCGGCTGTTCAGTAAATACTAGGCATTCTCTGATTGGACAAGGGGCCTTATGTCAGGGCACCACCAATCTGCTACTATAGAAATGCGCATAAAAAAGTCTAGTTACACTCACACTTTGGTGTGAATGGGACCTAAAGCTAGCCTTACATCAGAGGTGGGTAACTCCGGCCCTCCAGCTGTTGTGGAACTACACGTCCCATGAGGCATTGCAAGACAGATACAAGCATGACTCGCAGAGGCATGTCTTGATTTGTAGTTAAAGCACAGCTGAAGGGCCAGAATTGCCTACCACTGCCATACAGGGCCCGGAATTCAAGCCGTGGGTGGCTCTGCCGACATCGCCTGGCTCAACAAACTTCATTTGCAAAAAAATCGAAGGATCAGGAGGAAAAAAGTAAACTGGGCAGTGACTGCATCAAATCAGCTATAGTCACTGCTGGGGTATTTTGACAGCTGCTGATGCCGGTGGTCAGAATACAAAAGCTGACAAGGAAGATTCATCCATCCAGATAGGGCTGAACCAGAAAAACCCTTATGTGTATGGCCAGCTTGAGTAAGTCGCTACTGGAACAAGTGTCTGCATTGGAAGAGTTTTTAAAACTTTGGATTTCCCATCACTTTCTGTACCAGAGACAATGGTCACCAGGACAATGGAGAGGGTGATATTCCCCAATGTAGGCACTAATAACAACTAAACCTTACAGGAGTTTAAATACTCACTCTATCCACAGCCAAAAAAAATAGATTTATAAACCCTTTAGGGCTGATTTACACCAAATGCACTGTGCTGGAAAAAAATCTATGGGCTGCCCTTCAATAAGACTATGAGCTAAGGTACTGGCACCTCATAGTAGACTGCAAAGATACAAGCTTGCATTTAATAGGCAAAGAGAGAACTAACCTAAACACACAGACGGTCTGATGGCTGGAAGAGTGGAGGGTCTGATTTCTTGTTTTACTTCCTCTAGGTGTTGGAGGACATACAGTGCCTGCACATGGTATTGTACACCCCATTACAACCCATGGTACCATAACAATAAACATAAACATGAAAGCAAACCCACAAGAAGGATTGTGGGAAAACTGTAGGCCGTGGACCCTTTTATTGAGTTTTAATCAATTTTAACCATGAAAAAGGCTTTAACCTTTATTACCAAACAGAACAACTGTTAACCATTAACAGACAACCATGCTTAGTCTTCACCAACCAAATTACTGTTTACCAACAACTGTCCACCCACAAAGTGGGCGACATTAACCCATAAAGGCTGACCGTGACAAGGGAAAGCAGAGCAATGGGGAGGGTAGGCGGAGGAGCAGGTCAAAAGATCCAAGACGAAGGCTGAAGATGATAATCCAGAAGTGAGTCCAGCTGCCAATCCTGAGGTAACTACTGACTCTGCATGCTGGCAGGAGTGACTATAGAGAGGAGAGCTGACACTGATTGGCCAGCTGGTTTCCCGCCAAAAATCTGTCACTAATCCTGTACTCAGCTGATTGAAGATCTGTCTAGCAACCAATGTGATTCTTCATAACAACAGCAGACAGCTTGTAACCTGAAAGACAAAGTAGAAAGAACCAGCAAAGCCGCCCTAGAGAGACATGTGCCTAACAGTCACCACAGTACTTCTTTTGAATATAATTAGTTTTAAAAACACATGGATTATAGGGGTGGCAATGGGGCCACTTTCCTATTTTTATTTTTTTACATACTTTCAGGAGCCTGCAGTACCATAGTTAAGGTTGAGTCCCCAGGGCATTCTGACAGGGCAAGGCTCCAAAACTTCCTTGCTGTTGTTGAGATTTTCCAATTCCCTTCCATTCAGTCCCCAACACATTCCTATTGGCCCATTACTGTGGTAGACAGTCTGAGTGGCCAATAGGAATTTGCATGAGGCTGGGTGGAGCAGGCAAGTTCTGACATGAGCAGAAAGTTTTGAACTGCCTGGAGATCTGGGCATAGCAGCAGGGGACTGCAGGCCACTGATATCAGTTCCTGCTGATGGTTTGTGTTCCAAGTAAAAAACTGTACTCACTTTAATAAACAGTGTGTCATTTTTATTTTTCTCTTTCATATTTGTTGACAATAAGTAGAAATGATTTTTTACATGGCTTTAAAATAGGGGGCTAACCCAAAGTACCCCCTGATGGTTATAAACCACCATTTTTACCACCAAAAAATCACACATTACACTATCATGAATGACCTTGCCCTTTTCCTACTCCACAGTAATGCTATCCCTCTAAAAATTCCATTCCGATAACCTAATAAAGCCAGGTCTTGCATCCCTTGTTTTGGAGGAAATGTGACCCCTCACCACTGAGTCTGTGGTTCCACAGTAAATTATATCCTGCAATGGAAACCCTGACTTTGGCTAGTAAGGGCATGTCTAAAAATTTCCAAAGGGTCTGGTTCCATTGCAAGGAATTTCTAAGCTCCCCTGAATACAGATAACACCTAGTACCCGAACAATGCGAATACCACGCAATGCATGGTTTCATAACATATGGCGAGTCACTGCCGACACCTAAGAAAGCAGGAGCGTCACCAGCACACCTTAATAATGCATCCAAGTACATGTTCTTTATCAACGCATATTGTCACATATACAGTGCAATGTTTCGGGGGCCACACAGGGTTATCTTCGTCAGGCTCCATATGACCAATTGTGTATTTACTGCAGTACACCTACACCAAAAAATTAGGGGTATAACCTTTTTTTATTATTGATCCAATATTATCCTAACAACAACCTAAACTTAAAGCCACACTCCAGGCAGAATGATTATTTACACAGCGCACTGGGCGTGTAAAGTATCATAAAAAGCTGTATGTTTTATCTTTACAAGACATTCTGTGATTGGGGGAGGAAAGATGATGTCCCTCCTCTCTTTCTCTAATCGCAGAATGTCGTGTAAAGTCATTTTCTGAATAGAGGATAGTGAAAAGAGGCGGGCGATTTGACTGGAGCGCTGTACAGCTCGGGATATATCTCTCCCTCTCTTCAGTGTCCAGAAGCTGGACATTGTGTGCCAGGGGCAGCATGCTGCAAGGTAAGATTTTAGGGCTACAGTCACACTATTGTGTTAATATTCATTTTGGGACTCCTGCTGCAGGAACCCCAAATATGCCATTTCAAAATGGCCGTTGTCATGCATTGCGCTGTCAGCAAGTGGCACTCTGCATGTAATCGTATGTGATAATATTACATGCGGTTAGGATTAGATCATTGACCCTGGATGCACGATCAATGCGCCCACGTACACAGATCTATTCTTAACCGCATGTAAAATTATCACCTACAATTACACGCGGAGTACCGCTTACAGATGCGGCCGCGGTCATCCAATCATTAACTTAAAGGGTGACATCGGCTGCATCTAAATGGCATATACACTCAATAGTGTGAATGTAGCCTTAGACTTTACTCTGCACATGACACACAGCTTTTTAATATACTTTACACACCCAGCGAGCTGTGTAAATTAGCATTCTGCCCGGATTGTGGCTTTAAAATGCTGCCCATGTATCTAATACTACAACAGGAAAGTTGCTAAATCATCTCTGACAGGAACAAAAGGCAGAGAAGCACCGACTTATGTGATTATACCGAGTTGTGAAACATAAGTGAACATTTTGACTACTTTAAATGCTTGTTCACACCAGCCTGCACACGTTATGCACCATATAACAGATGCATGCAGGTGTGCGTTGCGTAAGTGTGTGCAATGCAACTAATTACAAATAATTACAATTAATATAATGCATTGCATTGTTTACGTTTTCTTTTTTCCAACTTTATTGCAATGTCACAAAATTACATTTAATTCAACTCTATGCGTCGCAGTCCAGTGTCATGCACCGAGTTGTGTAAAAATGCAGACATGCTGCTTTTTTATACAACGCACCTAAAGGCAGCAATATGGTGTCAACAGGGCACATAGAAAACAACTGTTTTTTTATGTGTCCTTGCGTTGATCAATGCAAAGTAACAGACTTAGTGTGCATGAGCCCTAAATATTCTGAAAGAACAGTTGAGTTTTAATATCATTTTCTGGTTGTTGATGTTACATGGTTTGGTTATTATGCT